GGGGGGGGCGGGTCGGGGAGGCGTGAGTGCTTTGAGATGGGGATGCTGGGGGGCCCTGACTCTGGGGAGAGATGAGTGCTTTGGGATGGGGGGGCTGGTTCTGTGCGAGGGGTGAATGCATTGGGATGCAGGTATTGGGGGGGCTGGCTCTGGGAAGGGGTGAGTGCATTGGGATGGGGAGGCTGGCTCTGTGGGAGGGGTGTGTGCATTGGAGGTACTTACAATTTTTTTTTAAAAGGTACTTTATAAAAAAGGAAAAACTTAAAAAACAACAAATAGTCTAGTGGCACTTTGAAGACTAGCAGAACACGTAGATGGTATTGTGAACTTTCATGGACAAAACCCACTTCCGCACATGAAGTCTACATGTTCTGTTGGTCTTTGAAGTGGTACTAGACTATTTGTTGTTTAAGATTTTCCTATTACAGACTAACTCGGCTACCCCTTCTGAAGCTTATGAAAAAAGATTGAGAAACCTTTGGGCAGGCAGGAGTTTTGGTAAAAATATATCAGACATGTACACACAGTGCCCGTTCTACCTCATCTGGTGCTGAATAATCAGCGCCACAGTTCTAAAGGAGTTGGCATGTGATAGATCCCCCCCCAAGTTTTGTTGTGGATTTTCAAAAAAAAAAAAAATGCTGGTGTTTTCTATAGGTCACCCACATCTCCCAGCCGTAGCAGAGACTTGGGATTAACATGGCTTTCTCACCTAAGGGTAGCCCAGATCTGTGTGTTTCTTAGGGATCAATGGCCCCTGATACGCAGGAATCACCAATTCGGCCCCGTGCGGCTTGCTCTGGGGAGATAAATTTCCCAGGCAGGTGGGATGTTGAGCCCAGAAGATAAATGTGGCTTCCGGTGCCTCCATGTGCGGGTCCCACCCAGAGCGTTGGGGCTTCGAGCACTGTGGTTACTACGGTCTCACGTGTCTCTTGGAGACCTTCCGCCTGTCCCTGGGCCAGCAGCTGAAGCGGCTCCACAGACTCCAGCCCCGCAAACTGGAAGGCAGAAGGGGAAGGGAAGGGGGGGAAAATAGAGGAAAGGGGTGGGAGAGGAAGGGGCTTGTGCTGAGGGGAGGGGGGCAGGGCAGGAGAAGAAAGGGGAAGGCACCAAGGGACAGAGTGGATGAGAGACAAATCCCAGGGGGCCAACTGCAGACAATGAGGAAAAGGGCAGGAGGGGAGGTGTTAGTGGGAGGGGGGACAGGGTGATGCTGGGAGAGGAGAAAGTAAGGACATTGGGGGCTAGAGGGGGGAGAGGGAGGTGCTGGGAGAAGGCTTGAAAGAAGGGGTGGGCATGAGGAAGGCGGGGATGGAGCAAGGCATGTGTGAGGGCACAGGGGCATGAGGGGAACGGGGGCAGAGGGTGGTGAGGGGGTGGACATCAGGGAAAAAGGGGGCAGGGGAGGAGTTTGGGGGGATCAGACTGCACGGGGGGGAGAGGAGTTTGGGGGGATCAGACTGCACGGAGCGGGGAGGAGTTTGGGGGGATCAGACTGCACGGGGGGGAGGATCAGACTGCACGGAGCGGGGAGGAGTTTGGGGAGGGGTTCAGACTGCACGGGGCGGAGAGGAGTTTGGGGAGGGGATCAGACTACACGGGGCGGAGAGGAGTTTGGGGAGGGGATCAGACTACACGGGGCGGAGAGGAGTTTGGGGGGCATCGGACTGCACGGGGCGGGGAGGAGTTTGGGGGGATCAGACTGCACGGGGGGGGGGGGAGTTTGGGGGG